GGAGGAAAAGCTTAGGGAAAGCCCAGAGGAAACTAGAGGAAATACACGAAGAAACATTCGCCGTTTTCAATTAACAACTTTCTCTCCTTTTTCGGTTCTTTTTTCTTGAGCCAAACAAGAGGACTTTTTGCAATGTTTAACAACGCGCTGCGTTGCCTAATTGATTTGCAGGTCCTTGGGTCGAAGTTCTAGTTCCAGCCAGACAATGCACCACCCCGAGCCACCCTGCACCACCCTGAACCACCCACTTTCGTGCTCATTTGTTGCCAATTAGTTGTGGAGCACCGCAGTCGATTGGAAATTCTCGGCAGACAGGAACAGGTAGGAAAACTGTTGACCAGTCGAATGGCCTGGGTAAATGGGTTTGTCTGCCCTTCCCCACAATGACAACACAAAGTTGGGCCCCGGAAGGAGGCTGCTCCCAGGATCCCAGTATCCTGGCATCCTGGCATCCTGCTCCTGTTTTGGTTATCCATTTATCGATGCGGCAAACTTTCGTAATGACTTTGAAAATAAAAACAGCACAACAAATGGCAAAGAAAACGGAGCAGAAGGGTATGGCATGGAAATAAAACAATGGTTTGGGGCCACAAACGAGATTCAGAAAGGCCGGGGAAAAGGTCTGAAATTATCTACCAACTATTGACAATAATGAGCTTTCCTAATGAGTAGTGAAATGGAATGGGAGATTGTGGGGTCAAATGAGGGCCAGTGGCCACCCAAAGTGCAAATGACAAAAGTTTCGGCCCGTACTCGTCGGACATGGGGTGTGTTTGGAAAATTATATTGTTTGGTGTTAATTAAGTGAGACCCAAAATGGAATAACTTTCCATCCAAACATTTTATGTGGCGAAGAGTTACGATCGGAGTTTCGGGGTCCTCGAGACCTTATCGATGGGTCAATGAGTTTGGACAGTTCGGTAATCAGTGGTGGGGGAGTATACCTTAAAGATAGAGTGTCTGGATAAATGCCAGTGTAAAAAGAAATCATCAGAGAAAGGCTTTTATTAAAAAGCAGTACTTTAGTAACAAGTATTTCCCAAGGCTTGGCAGTTTAGAAAAATACTACAAAGTGTACACAATGAGCGTTTGCAAAATCCTGTGGTTAACTAACCGCAGCACCAACATCATCATTATTATTATCAAAAACACCAACAATCACAATGGCAACCGGGCCAAAGGCGAGGGCATTAGTTATTTTACAAAAGGACAGAAGACACACCTAAGACATAAGCCGCTATCATTCACCCTTAATCCCTTTAAGGACACTTGACGTGTGCACGACCAACAACAGCAGCAACAACAACAGCAACGGCAGGATCTGGCACACCTCCGGCCAAGTCGAAATGGCCATGTCCTTGCTCCTGGCCCCCCTTTTCACCTTCTCCCTCGACTGTCACTTCAAGGAAAACCACGCCCCCTTCCGCTAAAGCCAACTAAAAGTCAGTCAAGTTGACCAGAAGTGCTGGAGTTTATAAAATAAAATGACGACAACGATGATACAGATGATGATGATACGGAAAGAGATTCAGAAAGGAAACTGCACTGGAAAGAATACTTCCAAAGCAAGAAATTACTATATCAAATATAAGAGAAATTTGAAATAAGAATATAATATTGAAAAATAAAAGATACTACCTTAAAGTACCTACAAATGGTTTTTTAAGGTATGGCTTACATAATACCATATCAATTTTTTCCCTGTATGGTATATAGATAGTTGTGGCCAGAATGCTGGAAAAATGGAAACATAGAGAAAATAGATGGAAATAGAAACAACAAGAGAGCCCGCATAGAAAGTGAAATAAAACAAAATACCGAGACAAGGGCTCCTCCTCGCCACTTCACCTGTACTTTGACTTCCACTTTCGCCCAACTCCCCACCACTTCACCACCTGGCCAGGTGTCCTTCGCATCCTTCTCTGTATCTGTGTGTGTGTGTGTGTTTGGGTGAGTGTGTCTGTTGTGTGCGGAAATCTGAAGCCTGAAATCATCCACTTAAAAGCTAAGGGTCGATAAGTTACTGATGCCTGACAGTTTATGGAGACTAAAATTGCGGCGACGGGCCTGCCTATTCCTCCAAGCCCCGAAATCCCCGGAACCTGGAACCTGGAACCTGGTAACAGTAGCCCCCATCTCCCAAACTCCACCTATAGCCACTTGAAGTGGCCAGACAAGAAGACGTTTTATTTATGGTCTGTTGTGGGTTAAGGTTGAGCGGCCTTCCAAGGTGTCGTCTCGTCTCGTTTCGTTTCATTTCGTTTCGGCTCGTCAAACGTTTCACAAGTGGGTTAAAAAGCAAGGAAAAGGGTGGAACACTGACCTTATATAAATATATATGTATACATGGAGAAAAACAAACTGGAACTTGTCATATGTATATGCATGTGTCTATTGAAACCTTTGATCTTTACATATTTTTGATGAAAGTAAAATGCTTTATACTTTGCATCTTTAAGATGGGTTGTCTATAATAAATCTTAATAAATCGTTTAAAACCCTTCATATAAAGTAACAAACATGAATAAACAATAAATTTATTTTAAAGAATATGTTTTTCTAACTTTATTATAATATAATAAAATAATAAAATATAATATAAATAAAAGCGTTTTCCTAAAAAATGGAAAGTTCAACCAAAAAAAAACATAAAAAAGAAATTCAGGTATAATATTTTTAATTATGTTGCAACTTTATCTTTTGGAACTAAGTACTTTCAACCATTTTCTACCGAAAAACTCCTTCCTAAGACTCTCCAGAAAGACAGTGCTTAAAGTTTGTTTTATTCTGGTTTAGTTTTCATTTGAGAGTGGAAAAACATGGGGAAGAGTCATGGGGACAGAGCCTTACTGGCCAGCTACACTTATTGTGGCATAAATTTGCACTTTGTTGTGGTTTGCCGTCTGGCGATGTTGTCATCAGCCCCATCTTCATAGCCATACCCATCCCCATCATCATCATCATCATTATTATTCCACCGGCTTCATTGTCGCATCTTGCTGGCGTTTTGTTATTTAGCCGGCAAATTGTTTTATGTTTTGGCTTGTCTGGCAATTTGTGGCCAACAGAAAATCAGATAGAGAGAGATGAAGGGGACCAAAAGACCCCGCTTTTAAAGTCCAAATCAGCTTAAAGAGTCAGCAATCTGCCTTCATACATACAGCCTTTTTGCCTGCGCAAAACAATTAAAAAGTTGGCGCCCCAAAAATTTTTGGCGGCTGCCTCAAGATGAACACATTTTGATGGCTGGAAAACTCAACTTGTGGCACGTTCTTGGGCACAAACAACAAGAACAACAATGGGGCAAAGACAATGACACAAATCAAAAAGTTTTCCCACACTCTTGGCCTTCTACTTGGTCTTGCTCTTCCTTTTGCCAGCTTTCTGCCACTAATTGCATGCTAATTGCTGCACTCACGCACTGCCGGCAACATGGCGTATACGTGATTTATTTGCTAGCTTTTTCTTATAGTATATGGTGTGTATGGTGTGTATGCAGCTACTTGCTTAATCGCTAGTGTCAATATTTGTGAAATATTTTTAAACTACGTGGGCAGACAAAGTTGAAAATCAATTGGCCAGACAGCTGACAGATGTTGCTGCTGCTGCTGGCGGGTCAAGAGCTGTATTTGAAAGCCAATCCCCAATCCGTTAACTTCCATTGACAGCTTTTGCGACACATGCGTTGGGTGTTCAGTTGTTGGGATCTATGTGGGTTGGGGTCATTCAATAAAAGAAGTATCGCCATTTGTTGTTTGAGCCCATGAACAACCGTGTCACCGGAGGGTGGAAAGCACTCAAATTAATAAACTCCATAAAATGTGAGGCAGACAGTTATGAAAAAAGCTACAAAAAAAAGAAGGGAAGAGGGGAAATAATACACCCAAGGAAGTGTGTGAGCAGCGTTAAGTGGCTGGCCCTTCTGTTTCACCCATTCTCCACGTAAATCAATGCGAAAACTGGACCCAGACAGACTGACAGACGGAGTGGGGCGGGAAAAACTGGTGGAAAACCCTGGGGGGGGGGTGTTGGTTTGCCATTGCTCTTGGCCTTTCTCACTGCCGCTCACTCAGTCAGTCAAACTTTTGTTTTCACAATGGGTGCTGCACCCCATTCCCCCGGGGAACTGAGAATTGGTCCGCATCGGATCGGATTGGATGGTATTGGGTGGTCTGCTGAGGGGCAGTATGTTGTTGTCGAGGTCTGGGGTCTGGGTTTTGGAGGTCTGAGGTCAACCCCCCGAACCACGCCTGTCAATTGGATCTGCTCCCGACAGGCATTGGTATCTGTTTGTCAATGTTTTCCATTTAAATAGTCCTCGGGGCTTCACACACAAAAAAAGAAAAGGGTGTGCAAAAAGGTTTGAGGGCAGCTACGAAAATCCTGCGATTTAAAAAACGTTTAATTAACAGCTATGCATTTGCCGCAAAACGCAACAGGTTTTCACCTGTTCTCCAAAACTTGGTAAATGGTAATCTCTCAAAAGGTTTTGTAACCACTAAAGAAATAATAGGAATTAATAGGCGCTTTTTTCGAATTCTTAAGATACCAATCACCATTGTACATAAAAACGTGGAATTTAGAGAACTTTTCTAAACATGTAAAGTTTTTCTTTTCAAACAGCGATCGACAAAAAATGACGTGATAGAAACAATAATAAAGTATGCAAAAATGATACTATACGTCTAGATTAACATAATGTAATTCTCAAGGGCCTGTACCCCTTAAAAATTTACATTTTGTGGATTAGTTTTGCTAACGATCTAGTAGCCAGGAAATTAATCAAGTTAGCCATGAAATCAACTGTCAATCGAAACTCGATTCGGATTTGGACCTAAGGGCCAGAGCCCCAAATAATTTCAGTTTCGTTTTCGGGCTCGACAACGCAACATCTCCGTGTTTTATTAATTTATTAAGGCAAGTGAAAAACAAGTTTTTTTTTTTATTTATTTGTTATTTTTTACTCTCCGGTCTAAAAAAGTGAACTTTTTCATTTTCAGATATGTGAAACACTAAGTATACCTGTAGAATAGCCCCAGGATGTAACGTGACCAGTCCTCCGTAATACACACCTACACACTTAATATTTTCACACGTGAGAGCTCATAGCAGACGCCAGTAACCAAAAAAGTCCTTGCATAAGGCAGCTAAGACTAACAGAACTTATTGGATGATGTTATAACTGATACAGAAACAGTAAAGCACACTATGTTCAACACAAGTGACTTGGTATGGATGGAAGAGAAAAATCCCCAAATATCGCCAGCTACCCTCTCAAAATTATATAGTACTTCAAAACCCAAAACGAAACTGTCACTTTTTAACAGACACGCCACCAATTAAGGTAATATATTTAAGCAAAATGTATTTACGATCTATTAATCCCAGAACTAACCCCTAGGAATTTAAATGCATGTGCCCTTAACATGTAAAAGCTCCAACAGAAGGACGCCTGTCACTCAGGGACCCAATTACGAAACTTTCACTTTTTAACAGACACTCGTGTAATTAAGGCTGCAACTAGGTATCGTAGTACCGATCTAATAATCTTACTCTATCTAGGAAATTCTATGCATGTGCCCTTAACATGTAAGCTTAAACAGAAGGAGGACGTCTGTTAATCCTGAGGATGAGGTTGGTACTGCCATTAAAGAATCTTGGGATTAACTTTAATAAGCCCTTGTCTTTGCAGCTATTCCAGGTATCCACATATCTGGGGCTGCGCGATAGAGGATGAGGATTTGCATCACACTCTAAAATAAATATTGAACTTTGCATCGAATTAAATTATCATACCTGCAAACTGCTGAAGAAGACAGCAACGCATTGAAGTACACATCGTATTATAAAATGTTTTATTTATCCAGAAACATTAGCACAAACCGATTATGTACCGACACACACAATTGTAAATCACACATCGAATTATATGCATGTACAGAAGAATCGTAAAAACAATGTAACGTAACGTAAAGTAACCAAGCCAATACTGTTCAGAACGTCGACCTAGTTAAAATAAAAATGTATACCACAAAATGCTTACAAAAATTGTATAAGGGGAATATAGTTTAATAATTAAAGCATGTAATCTATCTACGTACAAATACCGATCTACGTACTTGCCTAAGGCAAGACAGATTCTTAGATCGACTCGGCTAGTGACGAATCTAATATATCCTTTTACTCTACGTGTAATGGGCAAAAAGTACTAGCCTTAAAACCATGCAATAAAATGACGAACATGGTCATGATATGGTGATACCTTAAACCGTAAAGAAAAAATATCACTAAATGCATGTAAAATATTTTAAGGCAAGTGCAATTATTTCTATTTGTAAAAGCCTTTTCTCCACATTGGACGCCTGGTTAATAAACGGTTAACAAACCACTTAGCATTTAAGCTATTTATTAAAAAGCAAATCAATGAAATTAATTACCAACTCTCTAAAATATCTTAAATCTAAATATTAAATGTGGCTTTCAAGCCGCGTCTTTTCAAATTAATAATATCGATTTTGTTGTCCAGTGTAATGATAATTTTCGGTCCCTGTGTATTAGGTCCCATTAAATTAAAATAAAAAGACAAGAAAAAAAGTTAGCTTCAGCAAGCCGAAGCTTATATACCCTTGCAGCTATAATTATTAAATTTAAAAACACAAAAAATGATATTCCCAATAGTATAAGATAATATGTCAAAAAACACCGAAGCTATAATTTGTTTCATATTATTTTTCCACCAATTTTCCGATCGTTCCTATGGCAGCTATATGATATAGTCGTCCGATTTCGATAAAATTTAATTCAAAATTCAAAACTAATTAAAAAATGTTATTTCCAAGCTTAGGAGGTTATATGCTAAAAAACACCAAAGATATAATTTTTTTAAATTTTTTTGTCCGAATATTCCTATGGGAGCTATAAGATATAGTTGGCCGATCCGGCTGGTTCCGACTTATATACTACATGCAAAAGATATAAGACTTTTGGGAAAGTTTCAGCCCGACAGCTTTAAAACTGAGAGACTAGTTTGCGTAGAAACGGACGGACAGACGGACATGGCTAGATCGACTCGTCTAGTCATGCTGATCAAGAATATATATACTTTATGGGGTCGGAAACGTCTCCTTCACTGCGTTGCAAACTTCTGACTGAAATCAATATACCCTCTGCAAGGGTATAAAAACCACTAAAAAATGAGTATTATTGACCAAAATCTGAATCCCAAATAAAACCGAAAAAATTTGTCAAAAACTCAAAGCTCAAAACTGTCGGTATTTTAGCTGTACGCCTTGTTTTGGCTAAACTACGACTGGAAAACCACTAAAAAATGATTATTTATGAATAAAATCAGAAATCAAAAAAATCATGATGCAAGGGTTTGCAAAAAAATGCGAAAATTGGTTCAAAAATAAATTTTCCCGGTTTTCGTTGTTGTACTTGAAACCCTTCAACAAAGCAAACCCAAAAACAAGTAATGCTCAACCTTTCCCAAATAACATTTTTGTAACCAGTTTGTGGCATAAACATTTATTTTAAGTAAGTCGACCTTCTGAACAGCATATGGTTTAGTAGTGCAATATAATTCGTGTTTGTGTTACATTTGCGATATTATAAATTCGAGGTATGATGTATAATGTAGTGTATGTCGGTACGATAACGTTATATGGTTAAATAGAATATTTTATAATACGAGGTGTACTTCAATGTGTTGCGATGTGTTCTTCAGTACCTTCCATGTATAACATAATACGATGTATTTATTTACGAGTATGATGCAAGTCCTCCATCCTCTATCGCGCAGCTCCCAGTTATGTGTGGATACCTGGAATAGCTGCAAAGACAGGGGGCTTATTAAAGATAATCCTTAGATTCTTTGATTGTAGTACCAACCTCATCCTCAGGATAATAACGACGTCCTACTTCTGTTGAAGCTTACATGTTAAGGGCACATGCATGAAATTTCTTTTAAAAAGATTGTTGTAAGATTAATAGATCGTAACTATGATTCATTGAAAATAGATTACCTAGTTTAAATTTTAATTACACGAGTGTCTGTTAAAAAGTGAAAGCTCCGTTTTGTGGGTCCTTAAATACAATATAATTTTGAGAGGATAGCTGGAATGGCTGCAAGGTAAGGGGTATTGAACGTTAATCATTAGATTCTTAAATCGTAATACCAACCTCATCCTCCTGATTCTTCTGTTTAAGCCTATACATGTTAGGGGCACATGCATATTTTATATAAATAGATTACCTTAATTGGTGGCGTGTCTGTTTAAGTGAAAATTTCGTATCAGGGTCCTTAAATACCATATAATTTTGAGGGTTGCTGCCGATTTGCCGATTTCATTCCATTCATCCATTTTAACGATGTGGCTCAAAATTGTACGTCACTTGTGTTGAACATAGTGTGCTTTACCGTTTCCGTATCATCCAATAAATTTTGTTAGTTTTGGCTGCCTTATGCAAGGACTTTTTTGGTTACTGGCGTCTGCTATGAGCTCTCACGTGTGAAAATACCAAGTGTGTAGGTGTGTATTACGGAGGACTGGTCACGTTACATCCTGGGGCTATTCTACAGGTAAACTTAGTGTTTCACATATCTGAAAATGAAAAAAGTTCACTTTGTTAGACCGGAGAGTAAAAAATAACAAACTAAATAAATAAAATAAAAAAAAACTTGTTTTTCACTTGCCTAAATATGTTAATAAAACACGGAGATGTTGCATTGTCGAGCCCGAAAACGAAACTGAAATTATTTGGGGCTCTGTCCCTTAGGTCCAAATCCGAATCGATATTCGACTTGACAGTTAATTTCATGGCTAACTTGATGCATTTCCTGGCTACTAGATCGTTAGAAAAAATTTGCTTCGATTTAGTTTACTGTCTTTTTATACCCTTGCAGAGGGTATATTGATTTCAGTCAGAAGTTTGCAACGCAGTGAAGGAGACGTTTCCGACCCCATAAAGTATATATATTCTTGATCAGGATCACTAGCCGAGTCGATCTAGCCATGTCCGTCTGTCCGTCTGTCCGTCCGTTTCTACGCAAACTAGTCTCTCAGTTTTAAAGCTATCGGGCTGAAACTTTCCCAAAAGTCTTATATCTTTTGCAGGTAGTATATAAGTCGGAACCAGCCGGATCGGCCAACTATATCTTATAGCTCCCATAGGAATAATGGGACAAAAAAATTTAAAAAAATTATATCTTTGGTGTTTTTTAGCATATAACCTTATAAGCTTGGAAATAATATTTTTTAATTAGTTTTGAATTTTGAATTAAATTTGATCGAAATCGGACGACTATATCATATAGCTGCCATAGGAACGATCGGAAAATTGGTGGAAAAATCATATGAAACAAATTATAGCTTCGGTGTTTTTTAACATGTTATCTTATACTATTGGGAAAATCATTTTTTGTGTTTTTAAATTTAATAATTATATCTGCAAGGGTATATAAGCTTCGGCTTGCCGAAGCTAACTTTCTTTCTTGTTCAGTCACAGTTTAGCCAAATCAAGGCGTACAGCTAAAAGACCGACAGTTTTGAGCAGCTTGCTTCAATTGCTATCGATCCCCATCATTTTAAAGAAGATTTATTTTTTGACAAATTTTTTCGGTTTTATTCGGAATTCAGATTTTGGTCAAAATACTCATGTTTTAGTGGTTTTTCAGTCGTTGTTTAACCAATTCAAGGATGACAGCTATAGGACCGTCTGGTTTGGATAGCTTGCTTCCTCTGCTAACGATCTGCATCACTTTTTGGTTAATTTATTTCTTGACAATTTTTCGCATTTTTTTAAGGGTTTGCATCGTGTTTTTTTTTATTTCAGATTTTAGGCAAAAAATATCTTTTTTTGGGGTTTTTCAATCGTAGCTCAGCCAAATGAAGGAGTACAGCTATAGGACCGACTGTTTTGGATAGCTTGCTTCCTATGCTAACGATGCAGTTCGTTTGGAAGTTGGGAAATTTTTTGCTTATCTAGAACACACGTGCAATTGCAGTACGTTTAATTCAACAATTTACAATAGTTAACGAAAATCAATATTCAACGTGCAACATTCTATTTTTAGCATTTAATTAAAATGATTCACGAGAATATTTGAAAGTGTTTGTATGCTCTTGAAGATTAATTGACCAATTTGAGGACTCATTTATTTCTGCCAGTGTCTAAAGACCAAAGATAGTGACAGAGTCAGTGGCAATTCAATTTGTTAACCAGTGGCAAATTGGAGCTGTTTTTGTTGCTGGGCAATTTGCCAGCCAAGAGAGAACAGAGGAAAGCAGAGCAGAAGAAAATCCAGCAGCAGGTGAAAAGTGGGCGGGGGGTGGGTGTGGTGGCAAGGAAAACCCGGCGGAAAGGTATGTGTGCAGTGGCAGCATTTACTTAGGGCCAAGTTTGCATTTCCCCAACCTCCGTCCTCCGTTTTGGTGGCTATCAACTGTCTCCAGTCTTGGCAGCTGGCAAAAGTTGCCGCCGACACTTTGCCGCTGCTTTCTTTTTTTTTCTACCATTTTTTGTCCTTTTTTTCTTCTTCTTTTAGACAGAAGAAGATCTTGCAGCAGCGACTGCATTTCATTAGCCAACAACAGCGGCAGCGGCTGGCACTTTCTGCATAAGTTAGTAAATATGAAAATTTTGCACTAAGCACAACAAAAGCAACAACAGGAAGCCAAGTAAAAAATCAAAGAAAGAATTCTAAAGTCAAGAATGAGATGACAAAAGTTGTCTGGCGAAAGTTTGTAGCTCTTGGCTTGGCTTTTTATCCTCAAACTGGTTGAAAAGAAGGTGGTGTTCTTGTCAGTGGCAGACCACAAAGCGTTAATTCCCTGCCTTAACCCATTTACGAAAATGTACTTCAAGCCGGGGAAAATTGAAATATCTACTTAAGGTCTGTCCACAGAATAGAATGGAAAACACATTTTAGTTTTTATGTCTGAATGTGTCAAAAAAGTGATCAATTACAGTTGATTTTTCCTTATAAAACACTTAATTATTAGTATTTGGAAAATATT